ATCATATCCTGAAATTATTAGGATCAAAAAGTATCATATTACTTGAGAGATGTAGTATTTATTCTATATGATGAATGGTAAACCCCATCTCTAATATAAAATAGAATTGCCAGGTATGAAACTTTAGGATTAAATATTTTAATTTTTTTATGCAATAAGGCAGTAAAAGTAAAAATAGCCGTGCTAACACTTCACACACTACTGTAGGATTTGCCTTACTTATACATTATTTTAGGCATATTCTTTTTTAAATATATCTTTTATTGATTTCAGAGAGAGGAAAGGAGAGGGAGAGAGAGATAGAAACATCAATGATGAGAGAGTCATTGATGGAGCCCACAACCGGGGCATGTGCCCTGACTGGGAATCGAACCCCTATCACCTGGATCCTAGGTCGACGCTCAATTGCTGAGCCACGCCCAGCTGGGCTAGGCATATTCTTTTTTAAAAGAGCTCTTTTACTATTGAAAGATCTAGTGGAATTGTCAGACTTACATGGGGTTTTATTTTGAAGACTCTGCCGTGTTCACCATTTCTTTATTATGATAGTTTGTATTTTGTGTGGATACGTTAAATGTGACAAGTAAGATGTTGCATTACTTTATTTAAGATGCCATATAAATGTAAGTTAAATTTTCTGTGTTTTTCTATGTTTAAATATTTGATCATATTTTTAGATTAAGTTTTTCCTGTACAGTTAGAAGTCAAAATGGTAATTTAAAGGTGAAGAATAACTTTTTAAAAATCTGTTAAATGAATCGTTTTCTTATATTTTCTTTATTGATTTAACGTTTAACCATGAGAGGAATTAGGCTGTCTGCAAAATTAGGGGACACAGTTCACAAAAGACTACCCTCACTTCTGACACCAATTGTGTTTTCAGGGAGGTTTCCAAAAACACCTTCCGGTCCCATCATTTGCTAAAATGACTTACAGAACTCACTGAAAGCTGTTATACTTATGGTAACTAGTTATTACAAGGTAAGGATACAGATTCAAATCAGCCAAGGGAAGAAACACATAGGACAGAGTCTGGGGAAGTGCCCAACACAGAGCTTCCTTTGTCCTCTCCCCTCGGAGACGGTTACCTCCCAGCATTAATGGAGCATCGTCAAACTGGGAGGCTCACCTTTGCTTTGGTCATTACATTTTTTTATTGAGGTGGCTCTTTTATGTAGGCATAATTGATTGTCCTTGAAGCTGATCTCAGTCTTCAGTCTCTAGCCTCTCCAGGTGTGCCCCAAAGCCCCTACCCTAAACTACACTGTTGGTCTTTTTGGTATGGCCAGCCTTCAACTCACCCTCAGACTGGTGATCCAAAGCCCTCATATTAAAAAAAGACACTTCTCTCAGGCATGACCTTCCAGGGACTTAAGAGTTCATCTCCTAGAAGGAAACGACAGAAGACTTCTCTTTGGGAAAGGTAAATCCTTTCCTATATAAGCTGTGAGCCAAACTCTTGAGTAATATTAAAATGAGGTGGTCATGCGCTAATTCTAATGCTATTTGAAAGACCTCTATGGAAATAAATGCTTCTTAGCAGTCACTTGTAGTGTAGTGGTAACTTGAAGTTACTCTATATCAAGTAGGAATTTGAGATTTCTTGCGGTTTTACCTTCGACATAAAAAGGAAGAATTGTTTATTTCATTTCTGAATATTCTATGGATAAAATGCGAAGTATAGAAAATGCTATATTCTAAAAGAATTAATGCAGCATAATTTATGATAACAGTAAATTGCAAGTAATGCCAATATTTAATAATAGGGGGATAGTTAAGTATGTCATTATAGATTTTTAAGGATCCATTAAAAATAATTATAATGAAGACTAATAACATGTCAAAAGCTTATCAGTTAAAAGGGTTACAGAGAGGAGCATAGATTCATATTATAACATAAAGTACATATTAAGATAAAAGTGAATTATCAAAATGAAAAACAATCTATTTAACATCAACAGATTTATTTTGAGGTAATTGAATAAGTATACAAAGATTCTTTAAAAAAAGGATGGTTATAGGGGAAATGTTGTCTTTTTCCACTAAACAGATCTCATCAGGAAAAATTCTAATGCCCAAGCAGATACATGCTTTATTCTTTCTCATTTTCAAAGGTTAATTATAAATGGGACTTTATTAAATCTCCTATTCAATCCTATACAAAAAGGGTTCCAACTCTAGTTATTAGATATGGATACATATCATAAGAGGTTGTTACATAAAATGTGAAAATTGTTGCTTTCAGGTTTTAAGCATGTTTTATTTCAAAATCAAGTCTTACTAATTTATCTGAGAGAAGGAAATTTTCTTTTTGTTAGGATTGGGAGATGGTATTTTTTTTAACTTTGGAAATTTTTCTTTATTGAAAGAATGATATCTTTCACCTTTATTGGACAGGAGAGTGCTGTCTAATACTAAATACATTGCATACATGTAACTTGGCATATATAGCTTTTGGAAAGGACTAAGTAGTTAATCATTAGTATTTATTTGCCAATGTTTAATGAGACCTATGTATTAGAAATATTAATCCTCAGAGCAACCCATGCGGATGGGTGCCATTATGATCCTCGTTTTACAGATGAGCAAACAACCTTAGAGAGGTTAAAGAATGTGTAGTGTCATACAAAGGTAAGGTAAGTTTGTGGAGCCTGTCTAGACCTGTATCTGGTCTATTCTAGAAGACTACATTTTAAACCACGTTACTATTATGCCTCTGTGTCCATTGCAGCATCTGTACTATGTATAATAGTTCTCAACTGCCTACACATTAGATCTGGGAACTGGAAGAATATAATGAAGTATCAGGCACAGTAATAGACCTCCAAGTAGCTGAGGAAAAAGCTTCGTGTACATATTTGACTAAATGTGTGATATTGATAGTTATACGTAAGAAGAATATATTACGTGAAGTGTGCTAAAATCCTAGAACCATACGCATTTTAATTTTTAAAAACAATCAAAATAATTAAGTTCAGTCTCCTCACTTTTAGGATAGAAAAATGGTCGAGATTGTGGTATTATTTATCTGTCACCAGTAGATAGGACTGGATTTGTAGGGAAGGTATAGTTTTTGAGGCAGGAATATCAAATTTTAAAGGCAGGAATAAATGTGATGTATTTGGGGAAATTATAGGACAGGAGTCTTACTGTGAGTAGGCGGTCCAGATTAGAAAGAGCTTTTCATTGGCATCACATTACTCTTGATTTAGTAAGCAGCAAGAAATAATTTCATGTTAATGGCTGGCTGGAGAATTTTTTGTTAGGAAACTAGGTACAAAGTTCATTGAATGAGATAGAAACAGAAAGAACCATAAGTCACTCAGTTTTCTCCTCAAATTGAAACTGAAATGGCATGTATGTGTTAACCAGACTAAAATCAACTTTTTGTATTTGACACCTCTAGAAGCCTTTTAGACAATCTCATGTGCCTCTGTGAAAGTGCTTTCTCAAAAATTTGTTGTTCCTAGCCTTTTGATGTTGAAATTATAGGGTGCAAGTTGGTTCCTTAGAGCAGGTAACTCCTTTGGATGGTGGAAAGGTGTTTGCACTTTGGGCTCTCATCCTTTTCATCCTCTTGGAAATGCCTGCCTTCATGACACTGTGTCATAGTTTTTCACCACTCCATCTTTAACTCCTTGGTAGAATTCTCATTTGCCTCCCCTCTAAGTTGTTGTATCCCTTTGTATTTTATTTAAGAGAGGCTATTACATTTTCTTCCAATTTTTCTTTTAATTTTATGGACTATTTGCTCATAATTTAGAGTTGTGTAATTTTTCTGATGTATGTTGTCAGCCTTTTGATCTTTCCCTCCTTTTCCTTACATACAGATTCCCTTCCATCAGGAACTCATGTTGTTTTTTCTGAATGTTGCTTGTCTTTGAAGGGATGTCTTCTGGACCACCATTGCATAGAAGGATAGTGAGAGATGATAGTGTGAGACAGGGATGAGCTCTGAGAATGAGCTTTGGTATTTGACAGCTTGACCAATCTTACCTGCTCTTGAGGGTTGAGCACAAGTGATGGTAATGACTGTTCTAGGGCCAGCAAGAAGTCTCTCAAGTCAGTAGGAATCCTCTCACAAGCTTACTTGATTTCTTTCTCTTGTCCCAAGCTGTCTCTGTAAACTTCTCATAAAAGATAAAAGAATCAAAGGGAATAATTTCTAGATGTGTAGTACAGGAATTGTTTAAATATTTGTTCTTAAAAATTGACCAAGTTAAACAAACAGTAATATTTTAAATAGATTAGTTTTAACTTTGTGCACAGTATTTATTGTCCTTAAATGTAAACTTAAATCTTGGTAATAGGCCTTAGGATTACAATGAAAAGTCTGTCTGACCTTGTCTTTTGGCGTTAACCATTCAGGTTTGGAATTGGTCAAAACTCTCACCTGAAAAACAGAGTATTTATTTAAATAGTAGTTGTTTAAGAAATAGTACACATTAAAGGTCATTTTGAAGATTAATGAATGGTAAAGAAATCACTGAATAAAAGGAGTTGGCCAGTATAGAAATAAATTACATCTTTGTGTTCAACCTAAAAAAGGTATCAAAAAACCAGAATTCTCACGGAGTCCAGCACAAAATATTTGCATGCAAATATATTACAAAAACTTAAAATGCTAAATATACTTAATATACTAAGTGTACTTAAAAATATACTACAAAAACAATGTCAGGATGCAGCTCCTAAATATGGTTTCTGGTATTTCAGATATAACATGTCAGAGGATTGGGTTTAATAAAAAAAGTTCAGGATTATGCTCCCAATTCTGTGATGGCAGTTCTCTTTTTTGATAAATGTCATGTAGATTTTCAGTAATTTTTCTTTACTATAAAGTTCACTTCCAGCCTTTTAGCTTTTGTGATTCTTGAGGACTTCCCCTTAAATGCCTTGATGCTGGGGCGAAGTAATACTGACTTTTATATTTTTAGTAGTAAATATAGATCGTTATTTGAGACTTGTTTTATTAACAGAATATTGCTCTTGCTTTTCAGCGGGGATCTGATGAGCTTCTTTCTTCTGGCATCATTAACGGACCTTTTACCATGAACAATTCTACTCCTTCTACAGGTGTGTATGGTGAGTTTTCATTTTTTTCCAAAATCTGAATGTCTTCTTTCCATGGGTTTCCAAAAAAAATTTTTTTACAGGGTTTTTATATTGCTCATCTTATAACCATATGTTGAAGTGCCACTGTATGTAACCACTAAAATTTATTGCAGTAAAGTTACAATTTTCTTAAATTTTAAGGATTAATTTGGATTTAATTTGATAATTCCTTTTTAGTTTGATGTTCTGTGTGTTACACAGTTGTGACAAAACTATCAATAAGTTGATGACCCTGAACAATTGAGTAAAGAACTGGACTCAAACTCTTGTAGTATTGAGGATGCCGGATTTAGAGTAGTAGAAGTATTAAAATTTTAAGATGACATGATTTTTAAAAATTGAAACATAAGTCACATTCCATAGGATACCACTTTATTTTAAAATATTTTTGAAATTTGGAGACTATAAAACGAGTTGGGGAAGTGTAGCACTGGAGGGAGAGTGAGCAGTTAAGAGGCTGTTTATACTGTAGCAGTAGTAGTTTAGCAATTGTAACGAAGAGAATTAGAGAACTGGCAGAAGGTGAAGTTGATAGTTACTGGTGATTACTTTTGGTGATTAATGTTTGAATAAGAGATTCCATTGATGATTTCCAGATTTTGAACTTGGAAAATTGAATAGATGGTGGTGCCACTCATTTATTTTAAAAAACGTAAGGAGAACAGAATTATTAGACTACACAGCAGGTTTAGGTTTTTATATATTGAGTTTGAGTTCCTCTGGAATATCCAGATGGAAGTGTCAGGTAGACAGTGAGTTCTTCTGGTCTCAACATTATGAGAGAAATTTGAAAGTGAATATCATACACAGTTGACAGCTGAAGCTGTTACCAGTGGAATTAAAGGACCAGAATTCCCAGACACAACTGGAGATGAGGCTCTTGGGGCGCCGCTGAAAGAAGCATTTTCAGAAGCCCCCACAGGGGGATAGAATGTGGAAGAAGGCTTTATTTGCATAAAGTTACATTTCTTGGGCTCCAAAGCCCCCTGCCCCTTAAGCCAGTCCTGGAAGAGGGGCAGCTTTGAGTTCAGCAGAGTCAGAAACAGGGCCAGTGTCCAGAGTTTTGTTCCATGTTGTTCAGCATTCAGGACAGATTAAGGTCCATCAGCCCATGTGTGGAGTCTAACATGGCCATACACCATGTGGGCAGAGGGGAGAGCAGCCCCCTACAGCAGGAGTCCCAAGGGGGCTAGCGTGTGAGAGCCAAGGGAGAGGAAGGGCTGAACTTCCTTTGTTTGGAAGTTTATATACTTAAATTTCTCAAGCTTGCAGCGGCCAATTACCTGTTTTCAGGCAGGTAGCCTCCCATGTCACTCAGACCTTACTGGGCATGCGTCTAAATTGCCTTTATTTAATCCCTTCCCCCATCAGTCAGCCCAGAATAAAGTTGGAGAATGTTAAATGCAGCTTTTTGATAAAGCTGTGTAAATGGCATGCCTATATCTTTTGGTCTCCCCTTTCACTCCTTTCCTATTAAATAATAACCAGATTATTACAGTGGTATCAAAGCCATGAGAGTGAAGAGTCTCAGAAAAGGTGAGATTTTTACCTAATGTGTTTGGAGTTACAGGGAGTTAGGGAAAGAGTGGACCTCATTTTCCAGGCCCTGAGCTACATGGCATTTTGGAGAGTGAACAGCCTTTATGTGAGGACTCTATGAGAGAGGTAGTCCAGGTTCAGTTAAGGCAAAAGATGAAAAAAAAGTGAATTAAAAATATATGGGAATTGGTCAACCATGGTACATTGCTCTGGAAGACTAAGTGGAAAAATTTTGTAGGCAGTGCAACAGTAGGGGATTTGTGTATGTGGAAGTATGGACCAGGTAATATGGGCATGAGACTAATACAACTTTCTCAAACTTGAGCTGGCATCAGAATCACCTGGAGGGCTAAATAGAGCTTGATTGCTGAGTCCATCCCTAGAATTTCTAATTCAGTAGATCAAGGGTGAGTCCTGAGAATTTGCATTTGTGCAAGTTCCCGGGTAAAGGTGATACTGCCATTTGAGGAACCATACTCTGAGAACTACTGGATAAAAGAAATGCTATAATATGAAGTTCTTAAACCTGATTGTCCTTTTAATCTGGTAGGCTTTTAAAAAATTTTTCTGCCCTTACTCCCCAGAGTTATAGTACATGTAGGGTAGGGCCCATATGTTGTTATTTTAAAAATTGAGGTCGGTCAGTTTGTTTGGTCTTGGTTGATTACTTAGGAAAAGAAAGAAGTATGAAATATGAGTTTTAACAGGCAGCAGCAGTTATTGTTTTTATATTTTGAATTTCTTCTTGTATCCCATTTCCTAAGTTCATTGTTTCTCTTCCTGAAGCACGTCCTCTTTAGTAGCTATTTCAGCAAAGCTCTGTAAATGTTCACCTCTCACACTGACTAAAAATGTTCATTTCACTATCACTATTGAATGATAGTTAGCTATTTAGAATTCTAGGTTGATAGTTATTTTCTCTCAGCACTTTGAACGTATGATTTTATTCTTTTGGCTTCTGTTATTGAGAAGTCTATTGTCAATCTGGGTTATTACTTTGTAGATAGTGTTACTTCTCTGTAGTTATTCTTAATATTTTCTCTTTATTTTCTGTGGTTTCACTATGCCTAGGTATGGATCATTAAAATAGCTTGGGAAGCTTAGAAGAAAATACAGATGCCTTGACTTATCCCACACCAATCTCTGCAGGGACCGGGAGTAGGGTGGGTCTAGGCACTGTTTTTTGTTTTTAAGGCTTCTTAGGTGATACGTCTATAATGCGTGCAACCAGGGTTGAGGACCATTGTTGGAGACTAATTGCCTCCTTCTGGAATTCCACTTATACATATATAGTACCACCTCAATCAGTCCTGCATTTGTTTTGACATCATATTTATTTTCATCTCTTTCTTCTTAAGGTCTTGTATTTGGTATAATTTCCTTTTATTAAAATGGTTTTCTGATTTACTCATCTGTTCATCTTTGTCTAATGTGCTGTTTAATCCTTGTATTGAATATTTGATTCCAAGACTTGTATTTTTCATTTCTTTGTTTTCTATTTGATTCTTTTTTAAAGCTTACATAGTTGTTTTTAAAAATAGTATCCTGTTCTTATGATTTCTATTTTCCACCCTAATTCTTTAATCATTTAAAATGAAGTTTTTATAGCCTCACATTTTACAATTACAGAGTTCTTGGGGTTCTAAAATTCTTATTTTTGTATCTGCTAATATTTGGTTATGGTATATTATTTTTCCTTGTGCAGATTCATAATATTTGGTTGTGAGATAATCTTTGGCTGAATTGTTTTTTCTTTGAGAACCTCCAGGGTAGTTTTGTATTTGCACTACTAGACTTTCTAGGGTATCACTAGGTGCTAACATGTTCTAATATATGTGTTAATTTATTGCCTTGGGGATTCCTATACAAGAAGGGAAGAAAAAAAGTCAAACATTCACCATTTTTCCATCAAAATCCCTGAACAGAGATTGGCTTCCTTGTTACATACCTCTGGTAGATGGCAATTTTTTAATTTACCTTTCGCTGAGAGGCTTGGCTATTGACACCTGAAAAAAAATTTTTTTTTAACCCCGGGGTTCTCTATACATTAAAAATATTTTTGTAATACTTGCAATTCTCTAAAAGCTGGCTACTTATGCTGTTCGTTTGGCTGCCAGGCTGCTGGTTGGTGGAAAATGTGGGAATTATTGGCCAGGTGCACATAAAATACAATTTTATTTATTGCCATTCCGTTTTATGTCTTGTAGTAAATCCATAAGCTGTGAATTCTAAATTAATTTAACTTGCAAAGTTCCTTCATGTGTAAACAGTAAAATGACAGGTGTTAATATGTTGATTCTGTTAATAGAACTTTGCAAACAGTTAAATTTTCTAAGTTTTATCATCATATGCTAACACTAGAAAATCAGTTATTATCTAAGAATGGTTTAATATTGAATCCTTTCAGTAGAATCCCAATAAAGTCTTTGGGAAGTCATTCTATCAAAAGTGAAATATCTGACACTAATGAAAATTCAGTGTAAATAGCTTAGCATTAAAGATAAGGCTTTTTTTGGAGTTAATAATACAAATATAAATTTTGATGTAGCGCAGTGTCATGGTAAAAATATGATAGAAGAATTGGGAGCTATCGGCTATTTGTGTCCCATTGCACTATTTTTTTTTTTTAATCAAAGGCTCTGTATGTTGTCTGTGAAAAAGTTGGGGAAGATTCATTCTCTCACTGGTTGACTTTCAGTTTTAACCACTGTACTTGTGATTTATAAATTATTAGATGAGACTATGGCAAAAACTGGAAGTTAAAAAACATTGGATTCTCCTATGCCTATTCTAGCTTATTTCAGTGCAACTATTAATAATAATTTTTTCAAAAGCGAGGATGATAAACTGTACAGGATACTGGAACAATGGTGCCAAATTGTCCCAGGCAAACTGGGAAGTATGGTAGTCCTAGTAGGTATTAGTTATTAATATTTCTTTTAAAATATCTTTTAGCTTATTATGGATATCTTCCATATGAACTATAAATTATTTCATCTAGTTCTAAAGCAAATAATTCCTCATTCCACAATATTTCCCCACAAAAATGTAGGAATTCTGATTATAATTATATTAAATTTGTATGTTAATGTTAAATTGGAATCTTTTTGTGGTATTGTCTTTCCATCTGGGAACATGATGTGTTTTTAGGTCTTATTTTGTGTCCTTTGATAGTTATGAAAATGTTTTACACTTTTCTTCATAAATTATGTGCTTTTCCTCTTAAATGTGAGGAATTTTGGCAGAGACTATTTATTATGTACCCCAATACTTTTGTTTCATTTTTCTTAAGTAACAGAGCCCTAATTTTTATCTGGGCACATTACTACCAGGATTAGATGACTGCTTTTCCAGTCTTCCTTATTGCTAGGTGTGGTCATGTGATTAAGTCCTGGCTAATGAGATATAAATAGAAATGTTACTTTTGGGGC